TGATTCTGGCAAGTGTTTTCCGTGGCTGCTGGCTCGTTTTCTCCGTGCCAGGGAATTCTTAGCCCTTCAGTTGCCCATCAGGAAATGCCATCAGTGGGTGGGGACGTGGGAAGAGCACCCAGGGGGTGAAGGCAGAGCTTGGGTGGGGGAGCTGTGGCAACAAAGTCTCGCCAGTGACCTTCGAGTCCCTGGCTTTGGTGCTGACCCCTCTCCCCACGCCCTCCAGCCGCCGAGAACAAGTTTGCCAAGTTCCTCCTGAGCTGCCTCAAGTGCTGCTTCTGGTGCCTGGAAAAATTCATCAAGTTCCTCAACAGGAATGCCTACATCATGGTGAGAGTCACCCAAAACCAACGCCCTCCAAGGGCTGGGGGTGCCACGGGGTGGGGGCAGCTCGGAGCTTTCCCTGGGAATGGTGGACACGGGGCTTTGTGGTGGTTTTTTGGCTGTTTGGATGGAAAACCTTGACCTCAGCCACATCCCGCTGGCTTTGGGGGGGACCCTCTGTGGGTGGGGGCTCAGCAGTGGGGGAGATCCCTGTTCCAGGGTGGGATTTGCAGCCTGCCCCGCCTGCTGGACTCAGTGCAGTTTCTCTCTCTTTCCTCTGCCCCGTTTTTGTGCCCCAGATCGCCATTTACGGCACCAACTTCTGCACCTCGGCCCGCAACGCCTTCTTCCTGCTGATGAGGAACATCATCAGGTGAGACCCTGCAGGGACCCCTCCCCAGAGCCTTTGCCAAGCAGGCCCCTGGCTGCCTCTCAGAGCTGCTCATCTCCCCCCTCTCGTCTCCCTGCAGGGTGGCCGTGTTGGATAAAGTCACGGATTTCCTCTTCTTCCTTGGGAAGCTGCTCATCGTGGGCAGCGTGGGTAAGTGCTGGCTTCTGGAAGTTTCTCCTCGCTGAAGCTGCTCCTTTCCAGCCCGTTTTCCATCCCTCGCCCACCCTTGTCCCCTCCCTTGCTCTCCCAGGAATCCTCGCCTTCTTCTTCTTCACCCATCGGATAAAGCTGGTCCAGGACACGGCGCCACCGCTGAATTACTACTGGGTCCCGATTCTGGTGAGCTGCCCCCCTCGGTTTGGGGTGATTTTAGGAGAGCACCCTCCCACCAACCCCTCCCCACGGCCCATGCCTCAAGGGCCTCCTTTGTTGGAGGTGTTTTCCCGGTCTCTGGTGCAATGAGCCCTTTGTTGGCCGCTGCTGGCGCCTCGCCCGCCAGCTCTGCCCGCTTTGGCCTCCCTCCAGAGGTGCCTGAGGCCTTTTGTCCCCACTCGGGCTGCCCTGAACAGTCCTGCCCCTGTTCACTTCTCCTCCTTGCCCTGGGGAATGTGGGATTCAGCGTTTTCCTCCTCCTGCTGCTGGCCAGGGGCTCAGTGTGTGCTGTCTCTGCAGACGGTGATCGTGGGCTCCTACCTCATTGCCCACGGCTTCTTCAGCGTGTACGGCATGTGCGTGGACACCCTGTTCCTTTGCTTCTGTGAGTATCGGCACAGAGCCCCTCTTCCCACAGTGTCACGCCCAGTGTCCAGTCTGGGGGGGTTTGTTCCCAATCCTGGGGCTCCTCTGTGTGGTTTTCTCCCGCTTTTTCCTTTCCTGACTCCTCACCTGCGTTCTCACCTGCTCCAGCAGAGATCCCCCCCAGCCTGTCCGTGACCTCCTGCATCTCTCCCTCTGTTTTGGTGCTTTGGGCTCGGTGGAATTAACCACAACTAACCTCAATTTCCCTTTTTTTTCCTCCCTCTTTCCCTTCTTTTCCACCCTTCCCGTATCTCTGGTCGCACATTCTCCATCCTCTGCCCTGTCTCTCCCCACGCTCTCCCAACGCTTTTCGCTCTCCCCCTTCACGGCCGCTTCTTCCCGGGGGCTGCAAAAGGTGAAGATCTGGAGAGAAACGATGGATCTCCGGAGAGGCCTTACTACATGTCCCCCGAGCTGAGCGAGATCCTGCTGAAGGGGCACCTAGAACCTTCCAAAAGCGCCGATAGCCAAGGCTAGGGCGTGGCGCCGGCCGGGCCTCCCCCCCCCCGAGCCCGGCGGCGACTCCCGCGGTGCCCTGGAAATCCTTGGAGGGTGCTGAAGGAGCCTCAGTGCCTGATCTGCCTTCCTGCCCCCCAAAATTCCGTGTTCCTGCGTCGAGAGAGCCCAGCCGGAGTCGCTCGGGGGTGCCGGTGCCTGGACATGGTGGCGGCTTTGAGCAGAGATCTTTGTTGCTGAGGGAGGGCACGAGGGGCCCGGCGTGGAGGGACAGGATTTTGGGGCACGGCCCCACTGGGTTCTGCCACCCCCAAAGTGCTCTCTGGGCGTTTCTTCTGTGTCTGCTTCTGCCAAGAGCAGCGAAACTTTTCCTTGTCTTTTCCTGGCCTCTTTCCTCGTCCTTTCCTCACCTCTTTCCTGGCAATTTCCTCACCCCGTCTCTATGCAAACCACAACATTTTGATATATTTTTTTTTGAGTTTTGAAATTTTGATTCCGGGCAAAGTTTTGGCCTCACACCCGCTGCTCTAGCCCAGTTTGTCCCTGTCCCCTGTTCCAGCCATTGCTCCGGGGCAGGAGCTGTCACCGGTGGCCACTGGGACTCGGAGGGTTTCACTGCAGACACGGGGTGGGGTTGGGATCTCTCCTCCAGACAGCCCAGAAATGACCACGATTTAACAAAGCAGCTCTTGTGGCTCAGCCACAGCTCCCCGTGAGCCTCCCAGGAGCAGCCGTGGTGTTGTCGCTCCCATTTCCATCCCAAAAGGCTCCAAATCGCTCTCAAAACACCCCCTGGGCATTGCCAGCCCGGGGCTTTGTGGCTTTGTTTGGTTCTGGGGTGTTGTTTGTTTTTTTTTTTTTTTTTTTTTTTTACCATGGCTGGGATTTTCCAGCGTCGGGAATGAGGGGAATCACTTTTCCATCGGCTCCAGAGCTGCTGGGAAGAACCGAGGGATCCCTCCCGCCCTTGGCTCTGTCCATCTTTTCCCCCCTGAGAAACAAAACACCCGAATTCCCTCTTTCTTCTCAATCCCCGTGGGCCATCGCTGTGTCAGAGGTGGAGAACGATTCCACGACGACCCCAGGGACTTTGCTCCGTCTGGGAATGGCTGCTGGTGGGGGGATCCCAGGAGCCTCCATCACACCCCACATCTGCCCCGCGGGGCCGGGGATCTCTTTTTTGCAGTGGAGGACCTGGAGCGCAACGACGGCTCGGCGGAGAAGCCGTACTTCATGTCTCAGAACCTCAGGAAGCTGCTCAAGAAGACCAACAAGGGCCAGCCCGAGCCGTAGCACCGCCTGTCCCGCCTGGAATTCGCCTCCGTGGACCTTGGACCACCCCTCTCCTCCCCCTCGAGGCGTGGCAGGGGATGGGGGGGGATCGGTAAAATCCGGACTTCAAATCTGGTGACGATGATGATGATGATGATGAGTTTGTCACGCCACCCCTGGGCTGTGACAGGGGGGGAAAACCCCAATTCCCGAGGGTCAGCGACTCCAAAGGCAGTTTCACTGTGTTTTGTTGAGCCCGTGAATCTTTCTGAGCTCGGCCTTACCTCGCTCTCCGGGGATCCCATCGGATCTGAACGGGCCGGGAGGTTCCCGCAGCTCCTCGCGGGGTGTTCCCGTTGTGGCCTCGCCCTAAAATATTGAATTTTGTTTGTTCATTCCTGCCCAGAGAGCTGGAATCACTTCCCTTTGTCGACACCTGAGAGCCCAGTTTTGGGGGCCCTGATTAATTAATTCTTTTAGGAATAAGCTAATCACTGGAGGTGGAGGGGAACGAGGGGGATTCGGGGCTTCATGCTCCGCCCGGTTCTCGCACCTCTTGAGAACCTGCAGATGCCACAGATTCCTCCCCAAAATCTGCGTCTGCTCCCCCAAATTTATCAGTTTCAGGCAGACCCCGAATGCTTCACCTGCATAAGGGGTTTTGGGAGGGACCTGGGGGCGGGTTTTGGGTTCATTCGGGGTGATTTTAGCAAAGCCAACACCCCCCGCCAGGAGGGGGAAAAGAGTTTTATTGTTGGAGCTGAAAAGGAGTTAATTAACTCTAAAATGTAACTAACTCAGCTAAAATGTAACAGAATTAACCCTCACACCCCGTGCAGCAGCGGAGCCACCAACAGCAATCGGGCTTTTTTTTTTGGTGGGGGCTCGTTTGTTAAAAAAAGAATTTTAAGAAACGCTCCGAGACTTTGGGGGACAATTCCCAGCTCCCAAAATCTGGGGGGGGGTCCCACCTGCCCCCTCCTTTGGCTCTGGGAATTGATGGCATCGATCCCTTTGGCAGCTTTTTATCCCCATTCCCTGTGGGTTTTGGAATTACCTGATGCTTTGGGGGCTTTTGTATATTTTGCTTTTCCAGGATGTTTTCAGTTGTGTTTTTTTGGAGCTTTCCCAGTGGATTTTTTGGGGGGGGGCGGGTTTTGGTTTCTCTTGATGCAGCCGGGCAGAGCTTCCCTAGCTGGAATCAAACATTGTAATTTCCCTAATTTTTTATAAAAAATTCCCTAAGTTTTCCCTTTTTTCCCCCCCCTTCGTTTTTTAGTGCAGCTGATCAGTGGGCAGAGGAGTGGAAGGGAAAACTGAAGCCAAAAAAAAATGAAGGAAAAGGTAAAACTAGAAAGGTGAAGGGAAAGGTAAAAAAAAAAAAAAAATAAAAATAAAAAAGTAACAGCCAAGCTCAACAAAAAAAGGTCAAATGAAGCTAAAAAGAGGCAAATCCTCCCAGTTTGGGATAAGTGGGAATAATTCAGGGAATAATGACCAGACCTTGTTCCACTTGCAGCCATTCCAGCATCTCGTGTCCTGCAGCTCCTGATGCTGATTCTGGATTAATTCAGATTTTCCCCTCCCTGTGCAGGTTTCAGGGTGGTTTTGGTTTTATTTCAGAATGTTCATCTTGGGGGCGAACTCCCTCCCACTCCTGGATTTTCAGCTGTTTTCCTCCTAAATCCCTGACCCTTTGGTTGTGGGTTTATTTGCTTAGAAAGGTGAAAAGACAGCGAGAATTTGGAAGGCTGGAAGGAAAAATGGTGCAGGAGGGAAGAAATTTGGGATAAATGTGTTCCTGGGGAAGCCGGGCTGGCTCGGCTGCCTCCCAGCAACACAGGGCTGGAGGAGAATTAAGGATTTTTATTCCCAATAAGTGGCTTTTTAGGGGTGAAAACTGACTATGAGAGAAATACTCCTGTAAATTTGGGGTTTTTTTTTTTTGGAAAACTCAGAGCGAGGGCAGCTCCCTGGGAGAACTGGGTGCCCGGAAAAACTTCACTCCAAGACCGGGTTCCTTCTTCCAAAGGCAAAGCTCCGTGTTCATGGCATTAAATTACAGAATTTAGGAATAACGGCGCTTTTTTTTTTTTTTTTTCCCCCTCACCCTGTGTAGAAATGTGGCTTCTGTCCCTACAAACCACATTGTCCTGCGGGCAAAGGAAACAACCCCAAATCCCTTTCAGCAACGCTGAACCCCGCAGGGCTGATGTTTTACAGGAAAATGCTCGTTTTTCATGTGTTTTTGAGGCATTAACGGTGCCGTGACGATCCGGAGTCTCTGTGTCACGACCAACAATAAAAAAAAAGTGCCTGTTTGGACCTGTTTGGTTCTGTTTTGTCATTTCCTTGTGGCATCACGGGGGCTCTGATACCAATTCCGCCACGTTTCACCCCAAAACCCAAAATTTCAGCTGTTTTCAGAGTCGAGGGGTCACTGATTTTGGGGGAGTTTTGGTTGAATCTGAGGAATTTTCCAACAATCCCTGAGGCGCGGAGTCTTCGGGAAGGGGATTTTAAGGAGCAGACTGCTCGGTCAGACACCTATTTAATGTTATTTCCTTGGTCATCAAAAGCAGAAGGTGTTTTTGTGGTCAAATGCCTCCAAAAATGCATCTTTGAGGGTTGTTCCCCTCAAAAATTCAATGCCTTTGAGGTCAAGCCACTGAAAAATTTGCATTTCTGAGGTCAAACCCCTTCAGAAAAGGTGGTTTTGAGGACCAACCCCCTCAAAATAAGGCGGTTTTGTGGTCAACCCCCTCCGAAAAAGGTGACTATGAGGTCGTTGCCCTCGTACGAAGGCGATTTTGACACCGAACACCTCCAGAAAAGGCACTCTGAGGTCAAACCTTTTCATTCCTTGTCGGAGAAGGATGTTCCTGGTGGAAGCCTGGCCGGGCTCAGGTGCTGCGGGGGCTGAGGCGGACGCGTCCCCTCAGGGGGATCCCCTCAGGCCATCGCTCCCCTCACGGATCCCCTCAGCCCGAGCCCCCCCCGGCCCGTTCCCGCCACCGCTCTGGGCCCCGCCCCCTCTGCACCACCCTCCCTCCTCCTTCTCCCATTGGTCTTACTCCTTGTCAATCACCTCCAGCCGAGCCATCCCATTGGTCCGCGCCCGCCCTCCGGGCGTGTCCCACTCCGCTCCCCGCCCCCTGCCCGTCACCCTCCCTCCGCCCTCTCCGATTGGCTCTTCCTGCTGTCCGTCACTCTCCCTCGGCGCTCTCCCATTGGCCCGCGCCGTCCGCGCTCCCCGTGGCCGCGCCCCCCCCGGCGCGCGCGCGCCCCCCGCCGGCGGCGGCCCCGCCCCCGCCGCAGTCCCGGCGCCGCCGCTCCGGCCCCCGCTCCGGCCCCGCTCCGGCCCCGCCGCGGCCGCTCCGGCCCCGCTCCGGCCCTTCCCGGGCCTCGCCGGCCGGGCCGGGCCGGGCCGCCCCCGTGAGGCACCGCCGGCAGCGTCCCGGTAGGAGCCGTGCACGCGCCGCGCCGTGGTGGGA